AATCCCTGATAGAAACCCGTGGGTTTACATAGAACCTTGGTATCGGAGAAGACTATATCGTGATATTATATTTACTTTTATTATGCATATATTTTTACACGTATTATGTTTATTATTTAAAAAGTTTCGTGTTATATATTAATTTACGTCCATCGCATTTCTGTCATCACTGTTGCTGATGTCATAATAATAATAAAACACGCGCTAGTGACGCCAAGTTCCCGATGTGTTTGTGTTGTTATCGTTGTTGTTACATTGTGTCTGGTGAGATTTCGCTGACTTTCATCACATTTTATTTTTTTTGGAGGTGACTTTTTTTTTGCAGATTTGCATTTTGTTTACATTCATACTTGAACGATGCTACTATCACTGCTGCATAGGTTTTTCGCGATTGTGCGGTACAGCTTTGCGATGTGTTTGCTGCGGCTCGTTCCGCGTGCTGTTGGGCACGATGTCCGAAGTTTCGATCCAAATACCTCGCCTGGTACACAGGAGGTTGTGGGTTTGATCCCGACCCTGACGCCTGCTGCTGTATATTTGGAGCCTGCATGCCTCTCTCCCCGTGGTCGCGTGGATTTTTCTCCAGGTCCTCCATATTTCCCCCTCCACATTTAGAATCAACGTGCATTTAGAGCGTTTGGCTGCGGTAAATAATTCGTGGCCCTGGTCGCTTCTGTTAAAAAGCGTTACATCGCACCTGTGGGCCTTATCTGGTAAAATAAAATAAAAATTAGCTGCTGCCTGTAGTTGTTGTTGCAATCCATTGATGGTTCCATCTCTCATGGTCCATGCGATGTCAAAATCCACCAAACGTCTGCACGGTGACCGATCGCTCCATCTCCGTGGTGGAACTGTCCTCTCAGGCACTTCCCACCCCCCCCCCCCCCCTGCCCTCCCTCCGTTGGCTGCCACTCCATCGTTAGTCTCGACCCTGCACCTAGAATCGTGAGCGATGCGCACGCTGATCTCGTCAAGGAGCATTAACCATCGCGCGAGGTCCGATCGTCCTCGCGGAAGCGGCTTCTGGCTAAGCCATCGAACAAAGATGGGACAACCGCACAGCGCACTTTCAGATGCGCTTCCGCGGCCGTCTGGACCGCTCTTCCTTCTGATATTAGGAAGCGGCTGTGGAGCTATGCACTTTTAAATAGTCTACATTGAAAGCTCACTTCTCCAGAACTTCGTTTTGTTCTGGACTTGAAGTGTTCGTGACTGCAAGGATCCATTATTCTTTGGTTCTTTCGGTGAAGTGACGAAGGTAAAAAAAAATCAAAAAAGTTTAATCACGACGTTTCGGACGCAATCATCAGGTGGGACAACCATAGGTGGGACAACCACAGCAAAAAAGCAACTGCAGTGGTACCTCGGAGATCGAACTTAATTCGTTCCAAAACCGTGTTCAAACACCGTTTTATTCGAATACCGAATCAATTTTCCCCATGAGAATGAATGAAAATAGCATTAATTGGTTCCCCACCCAAGGATGCTATTATGGGCCATTTTTACACAAAGTTCACAATATTAAAATACAGTACAGTAAATAAAAGCATACACAAAACAAGAAACACAGCTATAATTAATAGAATAAATCAGGGGCGGAGCCAGGATTTTGAGGCCGGGGTGACATTCAACAAATGTTAATTTCAAGAATGATTTAGAGAGTCAGGCTGTTGAACTAGACGCCATCGGTTGGCGACACACTCTGACAATGCAGTTGGCACGGAGTCCGCCAGACCGAGTGTCGTACATTTATACGCAGAATGTCACCCCTGTCACCCCCTCTGGCTCCGCCCCTGGAATAAATGAACACTTTACGTGTAGTAAGGAGAGTGGATTGCTTGAGTGGAAGGTGGTGAGGAGGGGAGGAGGAGGTGTCAGTGTTGCTTGGAAGGGGAGTCCCCGTCCATAAACACGTTGGGTAATTTCCCTTCTGGGGTTCTTTCTTCTCTTTGCCTTTTTTCGAGCACTAACTGTGATTCACTTGAGGGCCTTTTTACTAAAAACTGATCGAGAGAGGATTGTTTCTGCCTCCGTTTGAAGATGTTTCTGAAATGACTCAGAGGAGGCGATTTTTATAATGATGATGCATTGTTGGCTACTGCCTTATCTGGATGATATTTTTCTACAAAAATTGTGTAACTCAGCCCATTTTGCCACCGTTGAAAAAGGGGCTTTCGTGTAGAGGTTTTTTTTTAAATTGGGAATTATCTGTTGGTCCATGGGTTGGATGAGAGGAGTCGTATTGGGGGGGGGGGGGGCAGGAACTTCACAGTGATGAAGGACGAGAGAGCCACGCGTAAACTGGGCCATCCGCCTTTGTCTCGGTCGCCCTGGCTATGCGTCTCGGTCCAAACCGGTTCTTTCCAGTTGTCCGAATTTTTGTTCGATGTCCGGGGCAAAAAATGGTCGAAAATTGTGTTCGATCACCGAATTGTTCGAGTTCTGGGGCGTTCGATCACCGAGGTTCTACTGTATATGCTTTATAGTTTATATGCTTATAGGTTGCTTTCATCCCACTTCAGCTGTTGTTTTTGCTGTGGTTGTCCCACCTGATGACGGACGCTTGTGTTGCGTCCGAAACGTCGCGTGATTTAATTTTATTATTTTATTTTTTACCTACGTGACTTTACCGAAACGTCTTTTTATGTTTTAGTTTGTTGTCCCTCTCTCGTACCTCCGATTAGCATGGTTGGCTACGTACGGTGTGAAATAAATTCAACATACATACTTAGAATCATGATAAGTGTAAAAGACCTGACAATATAATTTGATTTCAAACCCCTCTCTGGAGCCGGAGTGGGGGTGGGGGGGGGGGGTGTGCAGTGATTTGCACACTGCGCTGAGAACCCAGCAAACATGAGTTCTATTCCAGGCTATAGCTAACATCAGTGGTGAGCGACATCTGAACCAGTTCAGGGCCGCGCCTTCACTCACCAACCAACCACTGAACAGCAGTAGTGAAGTATTGTCGAATAACCTCATTGGCGGACGTGAACACATTCCTACGGAGGGAGCTGGTAGGAACGTTGGGTTGCTCGGTCAATGGCCAGGGTCAACGGCGGCACCACGTGGTGTGTTCCGCAAATATGCCCGACTGTGAGGGCGGGCACAAGCCGGCGTGAGTAGGTTAAACGTTGAGTTTTATAAGGGCACCACGGGGTGACCAGCCCCTCCCCACCCAGCCCCACCCTTCCCATTTTATCCGGGTGTCCGGATACACGTGGACAGACATCCACAGACATACACAATTCGGATGCACGACGAACGAACGGACACAATAATCCCCTGTGGACTGGTGTAACCAGGAGGTTCCTACCAGTATAAGCGAAGTCCTCCCTCCAGCAGTGGATGAACAAATGCTGTAACTCTGCATTACTATTACCCTATGCATCTGCTCAAAGATGAATTGGACAGATGAGTCTTAACCATAGAACAACCACTGTTGGCTTCTCCACACAGTGGTGTTAATTTTATCGACCCTAGAGGGATGATGAGCTGAGTCAACTACCAACCAGGATCAGAACTCGTACCCTTACGAGTGTGACGTGAGCGTTCTTCCCCGGAGCCCCATCAGCGTCAATAATTACGATGTCTTCTCATGCACGCGACACCGTTGGATTGTTTTAGCCCGACTGATCCAGGTCGGCTCAGTAACGGGAGCATCATCATTAATTGTAATTTCGTCATCACCACTCGCAGCATCATTGCCATCGTAATCACCGTTACCATCGTCATCATCATTGTCGTCATGATTGGCAAATATACAGGCGTCAGGGTCGGGATTGAACCCACGACCTCCTGTATACCAGGCGAGGTAGTTAACATCTCGCTGACCAGAACCTTGCCATATCAATTTCACGTGCGTAATTGTTTTTTTTTGTGTATCAATCAACTCTGCAATGAGGAAATATTTAGGTGTTGGTTTTGATGGTTTTTTTTTAATTACACGTATGGGCGCGTTCCTTTTGGAAACGAAGCGGATGGAATGACAGGAAACAAAAACAAAGTCAATCCCCAAATCGAGCGGCGTTCCTTTGCAAGACGATGCCCAAGCGGTGGATTTTTCCTCGTCGGTGGACTGCCTAAAAATCTGAAGGGTGTATTCCTCCTCCTCCATCTCCTCCTCTGATCCACTCTCGTCCTGCAGCTCTCTGTGTCTAGTCGTTTTCTTGTTTCCACCGTCGGATCGAAACGTTGGGTAGATCGCGCCCAGAAAACACGTCGATCACTCGTTGTGCACATCGGTTTTTATTTTTAAAAAAAACGTGTTCGCTCTGCGTGTCTGTGTGTGTGTTGTTGTTGTTGTGGGGAGCGGTGGTGTAGCAGTTAGCGCCCTGCGCTTTGAATCCGGCCACTCGATTTCGATTCCCGATCACGGCCAACGCCGGTGACGATGATCTGAACCGGTCCTGGATCTCCGCGAGGTCGACTCAGCCTCAAATGAGTCCCTGGTGCGGTGTGTAAAACACCGCCACTGGGGAGACAAAGGCGGTCGGGCGTGGTGCTGGTCACCCACCCCCTCGTGTGCCGTGCCGGCCTTCATAGGTGCTCGCTAACCGCACTTGCCCCAAAAGTCTATTAATGCTATAAGGGGGATATTTGTGTTTGTTGTCGTAAATATAAATAAATAACACGTACGGAAGCTTTAGCCATGGGCTACATTCATCCTGCAGACCCTCTGAACCTAATTGTAATTCCGTGGTCGTAGCCACACTACGTCAATCGGTGGACTGTACCAAAATGCGGGCGGTGGGTTCTATTTTTTTTGTTTAATCAGCACGCGTATATTTTTATTATTATTTTTACAACAACAACACCAAATCTATTTTAACAACCGCGCACGTACGTTCTCCCTGCGTGCTGCATGTTCGTGCACATGTACGTGTTGTCGAGAGCGAGAGAGGTGCGCACAGGCGGAGCGTGGCAGCAGCAGCACGTGCGTGCAGCGCGCACGTCCCCGTGAGATTCGTCCCGAGCTCCGGCGAGTTGACACCACCCATCCCAAAACATCCCGCACACACACCACACACACGCGCGCGCGCACACCTCTCGCTCTCTCTCTCTCTGCCAAGCACAAACCCCTCGCAACCTCGTGCGCGCTTTTCTTTTCATTTATTTCCTCCCCGCCTCGCCGTCGTACTGCCGCGTGCGCCGATTTTTTGTTTTTAATATTTGGTTTACCGCAAGCGGCAGCAATCGCGTTCGTTTCGCGGGGGACGCAATTCTTGAAGGTCACCACCGGTTAAACGACTCTGTGCGGCTCGGGTAGGGGCGACGCGCGGCCGAGGTACTTGGGAGAGCGAGGGCGATGGGAACGGGAAGCTCGAGAGCCCACGGAGACGGAGGGACCTTCCGCCCGACGTGAACGTCGTTCTCCGCATCGCTGGCGATAGTGGTCGGGGGGAGGGGATTGCGCCTCCAACGCAAAGCGCGGAATATTTTTTGTTTTGTTTTGCGGACGTGAACGGAGAGGACGAAAGCTCTGCTGGCCGGGCGAGCAACGGTGTGGGGGGGAATTCATCTCCGTCGAAGGCCGGAGAGGCGAAAACAAGAGGTCGATGATGACATTTGTTGGCGCTTGGCCTCTGCGGATTACGTCCCAGCGTCGCGAGCCGGACGTTTAATTCCACGTGCGCACAAGGTACGCCGGGCGTTTTTTTTGTTCGGGCCACCTCGCTTTGCCGATCGCAGGCTGCGTCTCCGTCGCTGAAACGTGCAGGTGAACGCGTCCGTAATGTGTGCGCGCGCGTGCACGCGTGCGCGTGTGTGCGTGGGGAGCGGTAGTGTAGCGGTTAGCGCTACGCTGCGCTATGAACCTGGCGACCCGGGTTCGATTCCCGCTCACGGCCAACACCAGTGACGATTATCTGAACCGGTCCCGGGCCTTCCCTAGGTCGACTCAGCCTCAAATGAGTACCTGGTGCGGTGTGTAAACATCGTCACTGGGGAGACAAAGGCGGTCGGGCGTGGTGCTGGCCACCCACCCCCTCGTGTGCCGTTCCGGCCTTCATAGGTGCTCGCTAACAGCACTTGCCCCTACAGTCTGTTAAGGCTATATGGGGTATCTTTTATCTTTGTGTATCGTGCTGAATTCTGATGCAGAACCTCCGTCGACACCGCCGTCGTCGTCATTTATAATAGAGGTTTTTTTGGGTTAGATCGCGTGCGTATATAAATGTTGTGTCGTTAAGCCGCCACCACCCGACACAGCCAACTAGTGAAGGTTTGTCGCGTAAACAGAACGTGGCCAATTCGTCACTAGGACAGCACTAGTGTGTAGTGTATAGTGTAGTGTATAGTAGTGTAGTGTATAGTGTAGTATACTAGTACAGCACTAACCGGTGTGTTAGAGAGTCAAGCCACAACATTTACAATCTGAGTACGACGTTTCGCCAGTAATTACAACTAGCTTCATCAGGCGACAGCCACATTTGTAATGAATTTAACGTCGACATTCGTTCAATCGGCGTGGCTTTTCGTAAATAAATGACAGCCATTCTCAATCCACCGATGCATGCAGGCTTCCCACACGCCATCACGGTCAAGGTTTTTTGTCTTCTTACCATACTTGGCCACGCTGGTCTCTGCAGGTTGATTAGCCTGGGAAGGGGAGGACAGGAACAAGACGAATATCACTTGCCTCTGTGGCCGAGAATCAAAGTCATCTCGACGAACTAAATCTCCGATGCCTTGGTGTTGCTTAAATGTACACGCGTTCGTGTGCGTGTGTGTATGTGTGTGTACACGCGTTCGTGTGTGTGTATGTGTGTGTTGTGGGGAGCGATAGTGTAGCGGTTAGCGCGCTGTGCTATGAACCTGGCGACCCGGGTTCGATTCCCGCTCACGGCCAACACCAGTGACGATTATCTGAACCGCTCCCGGGCCTCCCCTAGGTCGACTCAGCCTCAAATGAGTACCTGGTGCGGTGTGTAAACATTGCCTCTAGGGAGACAAAGGCGGTCGGGCGTGGTGCTGGCCACCCACCCCCTCGTGTACCGTTCCGGCCTTCATAGGTGCTCGCTAACAGCACTTGCCCCTACAGTCTGTTAAGGCTATATGGGGGATCTTTGTCTTTGTGTGTGTGTACACGCGTTCGTGTGCGTGCGTTGTGGCGTTTGGTGGCCTAGAGTGAAGTTCACTGCGTTGCAAGCCCGGTAACCCGAGTTCAATGCCCGCTGTATGTCCAACACGAGTGACGAATATCTGAATAGCGAGCCTCCGTCCATAGATCGACTCAGACTTAAATTAATACTTGGTGCAGTGTTGCAAACATCAGCAGTCGGGAGACAAAGGCGACCAGGCAGTGGTTCTGGCCACACCACCCCCCGCCTTCATATGTGCTCGCAAACAGCACTTGTCCCAGCAGGATATACACGGGGGGGGGGGGGCTTTGTATTTTTGTATATGTCGAACTTTTTTCGCACCGTACGTAGCCAACCGTGGTGATTGGAGGTGCTGTGGTGTTGGGGTGCATTTGCGTGCACGCTTCACCATCATCATCGTCATCATCATCAACCCATGATCAATCCACTGCTGGAAGAAGCCCTCCCAAAGCCACCGCCACCTCAACTGTTGCCCTCCGCGTGCACGGCGTCTCGATTCGCGAATGCAACGTTATTTATTTGTGTCCTGCGTTCTGCAGCCTTCCGTGACTTGTGCCCGCCCTTGGCGATTTGGTGGCGACGTGAGAGAGAGGAGAGAGAGGAGAGAGAGAGAGGTGCATGCCGTGTGCATTGCAGCGTGGCCAAGTGCTGAGACAGCAGCGAGGAAATGCCCTTGCTTCTCCCTTCCTGGAGCCACTGCTGTGTTCATTATCCCAGGCACCGTCATTAACGTCAATAGGAGCCTGTGCAACAGCGGCCAGTCGTGGTTATAATTATGATGATGATCGTGATTAAGATGATGACGGTGCGTTTTTTTTAAAGGTTCAAATTTAATTGGATAAATATGGCCAAATGAATTATATCCAGGGCAGGCGTTTTTGTTGAACTTGTCTGTTTTGGGGGGGTTTGTGTATACCAAGAGTAAATGTGGTGAAACACGTGAGTCTTTATTTGAAGCCTTCGTGACTGCAGGAATCCGTACTCTTTGGTTCTTGCGGTAAAGTCACGTGGGTAGAAACGTAATAGGTCACGACGTTTCGGTCGCAACACAAGCGACCGTCTGCAGGTCGCTTGTGTTGCGATCGAAACGTCGTGACCTATTAAGTTTCTACCCACGTGACTTTACCGCGAGAACCAAAGAGTACGGTAAAATACTGTTGGATGAGAGCTTCACCACGCCGTGTCGGCTAGGACTCAACTGGGTTGTTAGACCGTACTTCACCATTCTGGTCAGTGCGGGTTCATGAACAAGGGGGGGCGGGGTGGGGTGGGGGGGGGGTTATCAGGGGTTCAGATATAATTAACCACTGATGTTAGCCGTGTCTGGGAATGGAACTTAGGTCGCGGAGTTGAGAAGGCAGTGCGCTCGTCAAATCACCGGTTCCTCTCTTAATGCTAAAAATAATAACAGTTACGAACACGCAAATTTAATAAACGTGGCTCATGATTGTATGACAAAAATGCATTTTTCATCGTTGAAATGCTAATACAAACGGCGTCATTACATTGTTTGTTGGTGCTTGTGTTGCGGTTGTGTTATCAGTATTTAATTACATTTAGCTTCTCTCTCATGCTTATTTGACTCCTGATGTACGCCCCCTTTGCATGCGTACGTTTGGTCGCATCGTCGATGCAAGCGATGTTTCTTTCGCATTCGCGCACATGTGTGTCGTGCAGACTGTGCCTTGACACGTGTTGTGTCGTGCCATTGCATATTGCAAGAGGTGGCGGTGACGATGATGATGTCAAAGGTCAAAGTGTCTCCCTACTCAAATAAGCAAACGGGCAGTATTCATTCCCATCGGTGGCTCTGAGCCAATGGTAGACATTCCACATTGCTATGGCAGGGCTATTTAATATTGTAGAACTACCCAGGTTGGCTTTTCCACAAAGTAGTACCCATTTTAATCACCCCCGGAGTATGAATGATGTGTCGACCCCTGGATTGTTCTGCGACTCCTATGTCACTGGCATGAAGGTGGTTCCTTCATTGCAATATCAGCAGTCTCTTGTGAAGCACTGGAGTTCCACCGTGTCTCTGCTGTTGTAGCTCTCCCGATGTGTGGGCCTCCTCCCCTAGGTTGACTCAGCCTCAAATGTGTATCTGGTGCGGTCGGGCGTGGTGCTGGCCACCCACCCCCTCGTGTGCCGTGCCGGCCTTCATAGGTGCTCGCTAACAGCACTTGCCCCAACAGTCTGTTAAGGCTACACGGGGGATCTTTGTCTTTGTTTTATGGGTACACTACTCATGTAACTGTGTGTGCACGTGCGTGCATCGAGACACGAATGTACGTGCACGTGTGTGTGTATGTGTGTGGGAGCGATAGTGTAGCGGTTAGCGCGCTGCGCTATGAACCTGGCGACCCGGGTTCGATTCCCGCTCACGGCCAACACCAGTGACGATTATCTGAACCGGTCCCGGGCCTCCCCTAGGTCGACTCAGCCTCAAATGAGTACCTGGTGGGGTGTGTAAACATTGCCACTGGGGAGACAAAGGCGGTCGGGCGTGGTGCTGGCCACCCACCCCCTCGTGTACCGTTCCGGCCTTCATAGGTGCTCGCTAACAGCACTTGCCCCTACAGTCTGTTAAGGCTATATTGGGGATCTTTGTCTTTGTAAACACGTGGCTATTAGCCAAAGAGGTATACTGGATGTGGTGTGCCGAAATATTATCTGAGCCACTGACCTAGGCAGAGTCACATTAAAATGACAGACCGCGTGTACATGCGTATGTCACGTGGTGGTCAGTTCACCGTGCTACTAACCCGGTGACCCGAGTTTGATTCCATGCCACAGCAGAACCAGTCCTGGATCCTCCCGCACGTCGACTCCCCGATTCAACGTGTCAAAATCAGCGCCGGGAAGGCAGAGCGAGCCGTGCAACCTGCCGACCTTAAAAGATGCCCGCTGAATGCAAGCTTTGCTCGAACCGTCTTTGCAGGCGTTCATTGGAGACCCCTTTGTCTTTGTGCGCGTGCGTGTGCAGCCTGCGAGATTCTGAAAATGGCTTCTCCGTGATCATCGACCGGCGGAGAGATCGCTGGGCGGCCGTGAAGGCGGCGCTCACTCGCATTGCGGTAACGCACGCCGCCACTCCGCGTCAGAATATTGGAGGAAATCCGATGAGCTATGAAGCTCTTTCTCACAGTGATGTCCGGTGGGGGCGGGTGGACCTGCTGCTCTCTCCTCTTGTCATCCTCGACCTCGTGGTGTTTTAGTGTTCTTCAGTTCTTCTTGGTTCTCTTTTACATCTCCATAAAGTTTGTTATTGTCCTTCGAGAATGCAGAATTACAAAGTAGATTTCAAAGAGAGGAAGCAGGCAACGTGTAACAAACTCGGCGTATTGCACCCTCTAAATTAGGGACTGGTTGGGGGCATCAGGGCTGGCTGGCTGCCTTACCGCAGGAGGGGTAACGGTCGGGAGAAGTATATTTACTATTTAAACTAAACTAAACTATTTTTACTTTACCAGGTAAGGCCCACTGAGCTATGTATATATTGTTTTAAGAAGCGACCTGGCCACAAATGATAGCGCAACGAAGTGGCTCACCATGTGGATACTGATAGCAGATAAACACTCTAAATGTAGGTTGATTCTCAATGTGGAGGGGGGAAAAAAAAAACACTCGACCACGGGGAGAATATGCAAACACCGGACACACAGCGGGCGTCAGGGTCGGGATCAAACCCACGACCTCTTGCGTACCAGGCGAGGTAGTTAACATCTTGCCACCGCGGCGGCAAATTAATGGGGAGGGGAAGAAGGCGGGGGGGAGGAGTGAAGTCAGCAAACAGAGCCGGAGATAAAATAGCGTAAGCGGCAATGTCCAAGTTTGTCATTCTTGTTTTCTCGCAGGTGCAGCGGTCACCGTGCGTTAGCCCAAGTGGCGCAGTGTCCAGAGTGTTCCTCCTGGTTCTTAATGTCATCTCCTGCGGGTTCTCCTCGTCATCTTCCTGGGACTTGAGTACAGCACGTCTGTCGCAGTTGTAAAAGCGGTGGCTTTCAGACAGCATACATTACATTTTCGTCTCCCCCCTCCTCTTTTCCGAACATAGATGGACTCGTCCATCTAAACAAACTGTCAAATCTCTCTCCGTGGTGCTAACGTTTAAAAATAATTTAATAAATGCGAACCGCCACTTCTTTAAAAGGTTTCTTGTCGTTGGTTTTCACACCTGACGATGACCGTTTGTGTTACAGTCGAAATGTCGTGAGAATTTTATTGTTTTATATATTTTTTATTATTTTATTGTTTCCCTTCAACGTGACTTTACCGAAAGAACCAAGAATAAGTGTTGTCAAGTTTGGAGAAAACTTTGGGCTGCTCGGGACTATTCAAAATGCCGATTGACAAAAGTAAAAAGAAAGTCAACCGATATAATCGATGAACTGACAACCGATGACAACATTGAACGTAACATTCCTCGCATTCATAACATAAAATATATTAACCTCAGCGGCAGAATGGCAAAAAGTGCATGGAGCGGTTGACATGCCAGCCATGTTGCTTGGGGTTTGTGAGTAATGCAATCCCTAGCAACCACTGTCATGCCCAACATCATTGCGCTATCACCAGGACACCAATATTTTCGACTGAATATTTGCTCCCGAATGTCTGTGCGTTTTCTCTCGTGTGATTATTTTTGTGGAACTTACTGCATTCGCCTGTGACATCTGGCAACTGGGCAGCTTTTGTTAAAAACAAAAAAACCTATAGTAATAGGTTTGTACCCTTTTATCTGGCACCAAAACTGACACCTTTATACAAAGGATCATGTTTGCAATAACCACAACACAAGCAGTCAAAATGCAAACAAAAAGAGACAACTCTGATAATAATATTGGCACTGTCCTTGAAATTGATTGGTCCACACCCGAGACGGCTTTTCTTAGAGCCCAGTCTCCACTGGTGTTGGACCAGAAGACGCCAAAAGGCGTACAACTCAAAAACAGCGCACCATCAGAGTACTGAGAGCTCGGGGTAAGCATTTACACTATGAGACCTCCTTTGCAAGTAGCAAGATATAGCAATAGGTTTTTACCCTTTTATCTGTCTCTTTTTGTTTGCATTTTGACTGCTTGTATTGTGGTTATTGCAAACATGATCCCTTGTATAAAGGTGTCAGTTTTTGTGCCAGATAAAAGGGTAAAAACCTATTACTATATCTTGCTACTAGCAAAGGAGGTCTCATAGTGTAAACAAAAAACCTGACTGCTGATGAGCTGCAGGAAGTCAAAAACCGGTCCATACTTTTCCCGCTTAAAACAAATGTTTGTAATATTGGCCTGGAAAGGTAAAAGGATGAGGACTGAAACACATTGTTTTTTTTTATGTGGACACACAAAATAGAGGTCTGTTTATATATTGTGTTCTCACTCATGAGTTATCTTGACTCTCCTGCCCTTCCTCATTCTGCAGTTACACCTCCTCCTCCTTCTTGTTGTCTTCCTCCTCATTCGTATATTCGACCTCGTCACGAGCGCTTACATCATCGTATAATCGGTACACACGGATGTGTCTTCAACAGGACCTTAACATTAAATCGGTGCCAATTGCTTTTCTCTTGCCTTCAATACCCCCCTCGCGTTGTCATCTTTCCTCGTTGGAAAATAAAACACCTTTTTGGACCAACTGCAGAAAATAAAATCCATGAACATCTCATACAAAATGAGCTCGAACCAATGAAAAAGCCAGAAGCAAGCGCACAGTCAGCCGATCCCATTTTCTGATTGCACGAGACGGAGCGTTTTCAATTAATTTTCCTCGCACGGGCAGGCAAACTGCAGTCAGCCTGAACTGCAAGGCCAGGAGTTCAGCCCTGTCAGCTGAATTCCTCCCATTTCCTTAACCCGTTCCAAGACACACGAGATCTCCACCACTTTTTTTTGCATTTTCAGCGGCTTCGTGAAAGGCCACGTGAGAGTTACTGAGCTGGTACCGTGGGGATCATGGGTTAGGGACGCCACCTTGTCCCGATATTTTTCCAAGGATCGTCCTCTTTTTTTTTGTGAAAGCTGTCCCGGTAAATCTGTAATAGCCGGTTATTTTGTCTGTTGCGTCAAAATGCACCACTCGGTGCGATGCATTTGCATGCAGCTCTCTCCTCTTTTTTGGTATTGAGATATTATTTTTTCCATGATATGTCCCGTTTTCTATTCTTTGGGTCTTTCGGTAAAGTCACGTAGATAGGTTCAAATAAAATAACAAAAAAAACTACGACGTTTCGATCGCAATACAAGCGGTCGTCATCAGGAAAAATATGTTTTTTTCTGTTTTAACCACAGAGGGGGAATCCTTAATCGTGGCATCGAATCTAATGTTTCAGCCAGCTATGACGAAGCCTGGGTTTCTCAGTTTCAGGGAACATGTCACAACTATATTACTAAAATGGCAATTTGTACACATTTGGTGAAACGTGACATAAAGCAATCACCTAATGGAGTGCAGAACCGAGTCTAAGTTGATGGGCTTATTTCACGCTGCAGTAATTTGGCGAATGGGCTGAGACCATCGACACTTGAGAACTTAAGCGTGGTTCAGAACGAGAATATTTATTGATACTGGAGGAATCCGATGAGCTATAAAGCTATTTCCCCACAGATGTCCACGTTAAACAGAGGTGGTGGCTGCTTTCGTTTGAAACCTAGGGTCCCGGGCGATTCCAACTCTGAGCCACCCGACCATCCACAAGATATAAAATATGCAGTTAAGCAATATGTCATCTGATATACGTCAGCTCATAGAAAGTGCTTCTTATATTTATTCCTTTTCGAAATTCAAACATCTCAAAATGCAAGGCAACTCTGGAACGGGTGATGTGGGATCAAGGGACCGGTGATTGTCTATGATGTCAGCTCTACACTTCTTGTAAGATTGTGTGGATGCACACACACACGCACGCGCACGCTCGCGCAAAATCCCTTGGCATTTATTGCAGCAGAGTTACACCATTACGGATACCAAACAAGGAGAATTACTTGGCAATTAGCTTATTATCAGATCATTCCTTCCTGACCATTCGGAGGACTTCCTGTCTGCCCAATTGCCGTGTGGAACATTCTGATACTAATGAGTGTTTCCTAGACCAAATAATCTGGCTGGGTGGTTAATCAGTTAGTGTGTGTGGCTCGCAATCAGAAGGTTATGAGTTCAAAGGCCAATGCAAGGTTGATGCATCCTATCGACCTCTCCCTGTTCAATTAAAATGTTGGTCACCATTTTTTGTCGAAAGTCAGCCAGTGGTAGTCCTGTGGAAAACTTCGCGTTTGCCACAGGAATGTGGAAATTCCACCACGCCTCTAGAACTGTAATCCGGCGGTTGAGCACCATCCTCGGTCATTTGAGCGGAAAAATCACTTTGACGTCAACCCCTTTTTTCAACGCCGAATTCTTATTTTAAGTCTTCCAAATGTTATTGGGGTCACGTGACAAGGCCGAGCATCCATTCGGAAACTCTTGCAAAAGCGCGTGCCATGCGCCGTCTGGTAACGTCCCAAGGAAGACATCACAAAAATACTTTTGAGATCCCCACACACGGACAGAGGAATGTTCGTCATATGGCGGTGATAACAACAATCTTTATTTGAAGCTTTCGTGACTGCAGGAATCCAAACTCTTTGGTTCTTCCGGTAAAGTCACGTAGGTATAAATTAAAATAAATCAGTTAATTATTTTATTGTATACCTACGTGACTTTACCGAGATAACAACATTCGTTATTTTTAAATGATGGAATATTTCCGAAGTAATAAAAATTTGTATGTCAAAACAGATGTATTTTACCCCTAGCTTGATCCAGATTGTGCTGTAAATGTCAAGCAAAATTTGTATGTCAAAACAGATGTATTTTACCCCTAGCTTGATCCAGATTGTGCTGTAAATGTCAAGCAATTAGGCATCGTGTTCATTCAAAGCTATCTCCAGGGCAGTGCAACCCTTCACGATAGAGAATAGCCCAGGGAAGTGGACACCACAGAGCTAGCTCTGAAACCCATTAAGAGTAAGCCAGCACATCCCCACCCGCTCTGCCACTGTTTGTTGCACAGCAGCAAAAACTGAATTTTTTATTCTCAGGA